GGAGGCAAGGATTCTGAGGCTCTGTCTAACAATCTTTGGACATGTTGTGAGGAGAGACCGGTCCTTGGAGAAGGACATCATACTAGGTAAAGTAGAGGGACAGCGCAGGAGGGGAAGGCCCTCTATGAGGTGGATTGATTCAGTGACTGGGATAATCGGGATGGGAGTGTCAGAGACAGTGCGATTGGCACAGGACAGAGCAGAATTTAGGGCTGTTGTACATAGGGTCGCTATGAGTCACAAACGACTCAACGGCACATAACAACAACAACCCCCAAATAGCCAACATTATAGTTAAGGGAACAGAATAAGTGATGACAATACTTTCGCCAAGTGCTGCCTTAATGTAAAATGTGGGCTCTATTTACCTTTTATTATTTATAATTATAAATAGGGTATATAAACAGGTATCAATCCCTAGGATTTTTCAATATTGTTATTTTGTATCATTATCTTACTCATTCACAAGTACAACAGGAATCCAGAATACTCCATTTGGTAATTATAATCTGTATTTAATTTATTATCATTTTATTTAGTATGCCTTACTTTGAGTCGAGGAGCTCTAGGTGGTATAAATGGTTTACTGGAAAGATTAGTTGTTTTAAGAGAGCCAGCAGCACAATGAAAATGGCTTGGCATCCTTAAGACTACAAGAGCCTGGCTGATAAGGTGAATTATATGTTGGGCTACTAAGTAAGACTATGGCCATTAAAAACTCTATGGAGTGCAGTTTTGCTCTGATGTACATGCGGTCACTGTGCACTGAGTCAATGCCACAGCAACAGGGAATTTTTACTCTACTGATGAAAAGACTGAAGATTTTTACCACTTTTGTTGTCTGAAAATGATCAAATGTGCAATCAAGATGCATGAATAGAAATTGGTTACTGGAATGTAAAAGTTGGAAATGAAGAAGTCTCAGCATGCCCAATTGCACTGCTGAAGTCTTTCATCTGGTTGAGAGTCTTCCTCTCCTTCACTGATTCTCCACCTTTTCGTGCATGATGTTCTTTTCCAGGAATTTGTACCTCCTGAAAACTTGCCTAAAGCACGTGCGATGAAGTCACAACCAACCTTCTTTCTAAGAAGCCTCGTGGCTGCATTTTTTTTCCCAAGATAGAGTTATTCTTTTGTCAGTCCATGATAAATAAATATATATTCAATCATCACTTCCAATACCACAATTGAAATGAATAACTCTTCTTTTGGGCTTCATTATGCACTGTTGAACTTCACATATGTATGAACCAATCAAAAGTATTATGGTTTGGATCAGGTACACCTTAGTATTTAGACATGGAGCCTTGTTCTTTAATACTTTAAAGAGGTCCTTGACAGTAGGTCTTCCCACCACTTATTTTTCAGTTTGTCATACTGACAGTGTTCAAAGTTTACCAAGAGGTTAAGGATCAACAGAGGTCATGCATCCATGGAATAACTGAGGTACCTTAAGATACCCTGAAAGGCACCATTCTTTACACCTTTGAGTACTGTGTCCATACTCTGAGGATAAATGGCCAGACTCAGAGTTGCTGCTATTGCTGACTGCTCATAGGATTCCCACAGGCAATGGAAAGCAAATGCTGCCTGGTTCTATATCATTCCCAAGATCAGCTGTGCATTAGACCACTGGGATTCATAGGGTTTTCATCGGCTGATGTTCAGAAGTATATGGCCAGGCCTTTCATGCTGGTCTGTCTCAATCTAGAAACTCCAATGAAACTTGTTCCATTCCACAAGAACATTTAAGCTTTTATTGACGGATGATTGATGACTATGTATGAAGTACTTGGCCAAGAATTAACTGGGCCTCCTTCAGGGGAGGTCAGAATTCTACCATTGAACCTGTGCTCACTGTGTCATGCAACAAATAAAGTGATGACGGCAGAGGCAACTGAGATGTATGGTGGTAGGGGCATGTTCCAAGGCCATTCTTATTATTTCTAAGAACAGAGCAGGCTCTAGGTCAATGATGATTTGAAAACTACAGATTTACAGGTTTTCAAATATTCCCAGTAGTATCTCACTCCCACCCCACTGTCCAAAGATTTGAAAGGTTTCTCTTTCACAACACAGGGAAGACTGATCCTCTAGCTGAAATGATGTGATCAGAACCAAGGCTGTGGAAGGATTTAAAGATATTGATTATATAGGACTAAAATTACATCCAACCAGTAACGCAGACTGTGATGGTGGTCCAGCTGGCCCTACTCTAAAGACAAAGAATTCTTAACAGAGAAGTTTTTACTGGAGGAGTGTAAGCAGCATCAAGGAATTAACACAGCATATGATATTCAAGATTTGTGTGTGTGTGTGCACATGCACATGTGTGTATGTGATGTGTCCTCAAGTCGACTACAACTCAAGCCACAGATTTGAAAAATGTCCTGTCCTCCACCTTCTTTATCATCTCCAATACACTTTTTCTCATTGTTAAGTCATTGTGTCAGTCCATCTTTTTTGAAGGGCTTTTCTCTTTTGCCAACTATACACCTTTCCAAGCATGATATCCTTTCGCAAGGACTAGATCCTCCCAACAACATGAACAACACATGTGAGATGAAACTTTATCATCCTTACCTCCAAGGAGTACCCTGATTGCACTTTCTCGACTACATACATGTTTAGTCTTTTGGCAGTCCATATTCAGTATTCTTCTCTTCTCTAATACCACAACTCAAAGGCACTGATTTTTCTGTCATATTATGTCATTGTCCAACGTTCAGATGCACAGAAAGTAACTGAAAAGACCATGGCCTGCATCAAGTGCACCTTAGTCTTTTAACGTTAGCATTTGGAGAGGTCACCCAGAGCAAATTTTTCCAGTGAAATATTTCTTTTGATTTCTTGACTGCTGGTACCAAGGGTGCTGACTGTAGATCCCAGTAAGATGAAATCTTTGACAATTTGAATCTTTTCATCATCTTTAATGATGTTGACTATTGGCCCCAGTAGTGAGGATTTTTGCTTTCTTGATGATGAGCTATAACCCATACTCAAGGCTGTAATCTTTGATCTTCTGCAGCAAGTATTTGAATCCCCCTATTTTCAGCAAGCAAGGTTGTATCATCTGCATAGCAGATATATAGGTAATGCAGATAAAGCAAATATATGCATAATACCTCAGATAAGACACATACAGTAACTAGGGCAATGGAGATAGGTGTGTCAGAGTCAGTGAGACTGGCTTAGAACAGGGCAGGCTTCAGAGCTGTTGTACATAAGGTCACTATGAGTCGCAGGCAACCCAATGACACATAACCACCACCACAGGATTTACCACATTATCCAATCTGCTGCACATAAGCTATGAAGGGGTTCTGACTTAAGGGCAATGAGGGTTTTTTTTCAGTTTGTATATACACACATACACAGATGGGGAAGGAGAAGGGAGAGAAAGGGATTGATTTATCTCAAAGAAATGGCTCACATTATCATACAATCTGGAAAGTCCCAAATCCTGAGATCAGACTTCAGAATCATGCCTTTTAAGAGGTATTTATTATTGTCTAATGAGGTTCAGAAATCCAACAGCAGGATTGTTTGGGGACTGTCTTCTAGATATGACTCATGTAATCATGGAGGCTGATGAATCCAAGGTCAGCAGTTAAGGGAGGCTACTAGTTCAAGTCTAAGAATGGATGTGACAAGCATTTGCAAGACTCAGGTCAAACAAAAGCAAGAGAACTTAGCCAAACATCCATATACATTATGTATAGAGCTGGACAATGACTAAGGATGACAGAAGAAGAATTGATGGCTTCAAGTTGTGTGCTGGAGTCTTGAACATATCATGGACTGTCAAGAAAACAAACAGGTCTGTCTTGGAGAGAGTGAATTAAGTCTCTCCTTGGAGGCTAGTATTCTGAAGCTCCATCTCATGTACTTTGGACTGGTCCTTGGAGAAGGACATAATACTTGGAAGGGTGGAGGGGACAGCGCTGGAGAGGAAGACCTTGAGCAAGATGGATTGATACAGTAACTGGGGTAATGGGGGTTGGTGTGTTGGAATTAGTGAGACTAGCTCGGGACAGGAAAGAGTTCAGAGCTATACTGTACATAGATAGGCTCCTTATCAGCTGCATGCCACACAATGGCACATAACAACAACAACAACAACAACATACTATATTGTTTGTTTTTTATTTAAGCTTTTTGTTTAGAGTCAACAAGACCTCCTGGAGAGTCTTTGTATTTAAACGTCTGTTGTTATTATATTTTTGAAGAATATTCTTCTAAGTGGTACTGCACTCTTCAGTCAACTTGCTGTACTGAAGTAACCTGGGGTAGCTGTGATGCTGAACCTTGTGCCACTGCAGTTTCAAATTAACGGTTACGCATGGTGGACAGTGGTGGAGCTCCCAGTTTAAGACAGGTTTTGGAAGCAGGAGTGGCACCATTTCCTAAACAACATGCCTCTGGAAAGCCTTCAGGTCTTTTGTACATAGAGTTGCTATGAGTCATGCTTGACTCAATGGCAATCAACAACAACAACAACAACAACATAGACCCTTTATTGACACTCTCTCAACTTATTGGCTGCTCTTAGTAGATCTCACTGTGGAGGTATCTCTCCTGGTCCTGAGATGGAAAAGAGCTCAAAGGAGTTTTCATCAAAGTAGTGCAGTGATTTCAGATAGTGTCATCACATGACTACAGACATCCTTAATATAATATTCCTATCTACCCATTTTTCTTTCATGATGTCTAAAGCTACTTTAATTTTTTTTTTTAGATGATTTGTTTTGGGCACCTCAGCTCCTGGTAAGCATGACAGCATGACTTAGGGCAGAGATCCCAGGTGGGTTTGACACTCAACCAGCTGCTATGTGTGAGGCTATGTCTGGACACAGGATGCAAGCAGCACCATCAGTGTATTTGTGAGAAAACTGATTTCCCAAAAGGCTCTGAGGCATTACTGCCCGGCTCTAGCCCAATATGCATAAAGGCAGTCATCTCACCAAAGCCCCCATTAAGTCACAGGAAAAGTACATCACCTGGCACCTGCCATGCACGCAGAGGTCCATCTCGTAGGGCCCACAGGGAGTGCCATCTAAGACCCTTTCGGCCACCAGCAGCGGGGACTCCTTCCCAAGGGGTGAGCAGTAGAGTTCACAGGGCTTATCTGGGGAAGGAAAAGTTGAGGATATTTACGTGGGAAAGAAGTTGTGCTCACATATGATAGAGATGCATGTGAAAGTTGGGCATCAAGCTGGGCAAGGTCAGCCTGAAAAGTCACCTGGACAACCACCCCTGGGAATACCCAAAAGGCAACAAAGGGAGCAAGGCACCAAAATGCAAATGCATGACAGATCCTCTCCAGCTCGTCTGACATATTTTGGACATGTTGCAAGGAGGGGCCAGTCCTTGGAGAGGGATGTCATGCTTGGGAGAGTGGAAGGACGACACAGGAGAGGAAGACCCTTGATGAGATGGACTGATTCCGTGGCTGGGGTAATGGGGGTAAGCGTGTCAGAAACAAGGAGATTGGCATAGGATCGAGCAGGGTTTAGGGCTGATAACACAGAGTCCCTATGAGTCGTAAGCAACTCAATGGCACATAACAACAACATAACATGACAGATCATGGGTGAAAAGAGTTTTTTCATTTTATTTCCTCTCGCTTGCACCCAAACTCTATCCTACAAACTCTCCTCAACATTTCCTTTCCCATAAGGATGAACAAGCATCCTCCTGCATGTTAGCCTCTAAGTATGTTGGATGCATTTGAAGGCTAAGTGAAGGAGAAGATTGCAGTGGGAGAGGTTCTTATCTGATGAGATATAAAATGTGATGAGAAAGTCCTGGAAAAGTCCTAATAGGATAGAGAATAGATTGAGAATACAGGGAATCTAGAACAATTAGTAGGAGCTGTGTCATTGGTAGAGTAGGAATCTGGTTTCTGTTGCCTCTTGAACCACTTGAGTATCCAGAATGTACCAGGCTCACAGGCTTTTGCTTAGGTTGCTCCCTCTGCCTCGGAAGCCTTGCCTACTAGGCTTTCTGGAAAACACAAATTACCCTGAAAACTCCCATTTTAGCACTCTTTTCTCGCATGCCTACTCATGGGACAGCCATCTTTGCATATACTCCATTAAACCTTCTTGCTATTATTATCCTGGTGACCTTTAATGGTTTCACCAATGCCCAGATAGACCATCATCTCTTAGAAGGGAAGTTCCACTGCTAAAGGTTCTGAAATGAATGGATCTCAGCTATTACCTGTGGTCAATCTGGCTCCCAGTCAAGATGACCTCACATACATGAACAGAATGTTATCTAACTCTGGACTGTCCTTGTAACTGGGATACTTAAGTCCATGGTTGTAGCCACTGTGCCTTCTGGCTGCTTTCCAACCTATGGAATCACCTTTCAGCAGTATTACCAGACAACATTCTACCATGATCCATAGATTCCCCCCCCCCATGTCTTTGGGAAGTAAATTTCCAGGCATCTTCCTAGTCTGCATTAACCTGAAAGCTCCACTGAAATTTGTCCAATATGGGTGATTATGGTATTTGAAATACTGGTGGCATAGACTCGAGGATTCTAGTAACAGAACATGATATGGTAGTATCAGAACAGGACAGGATAGTACAAAGGACTTGACAGAGTAATCTTACTTCATTTTAATTTTAAAATAATTGAATGGTCAAGCCTTCCAGGATTGAGACCACACTGTCTTCCATGTTTCTAGGTCAGGCTTGGGATTTGTTCTATACAGTTACTAAAAGTCTGACCAAACTAATGGATTTGTTCCTCTCTATGGAATTACAAAACAGGAATACACCCTTTTCTATGCCTTTTTCTTGGGCCATCCATGTGATTGTACTGTACATGTGATTGTTTTGCAAAGGGAATTTCCAAAGAGAGAAGCAATTTTGTGCCACATCAGCTAGGCCTGTGTCACCACCATAAGTTCTATTCACTGTGTGTTCTTGAAGTCTTAGAGTGAGCAAGTCAGGGATAGAGAGGCTTCTGAAGCTGATGTGACCTCTGAGGACCTTAGCTCCCAGGTGGAAGTCCTTGTTAGGGTAGATGTTCTGTTTATCCAGTGGGTTGGGGATTTCATGAGTGTATAATGTTCACTGGGTTCCACCGGCGCCTCTTCCACAACATCTACTGGCTCACAGGCACAGTGGGTAAATGCTTCCCTAGAGGTGAACTAGAATAAAGTCTTAGGGGTGAGGAGTAAACGTCAGAGGTATGGTATAAAATTCATCCAATTAGGGGAAAAAAATTTCTTCAGTGTATTTTTCTTCTTCTTTTTTCTTGTTTTTTCTCTTCTGTGCATTTTTATGAAGACGTTATTCCATTAATTCATCCCCAAAACACGGCCTCTCCTCTGTGATAGGTGAGCAGTGAAGTCTTTAGGGAGCCAGAGGTCTCACGGACACACACACTAAGGGTAAGGCAGAAGGTGAGCCATCTAGAGATGGGTCTGATTTGAGCTTTCCAAGCACAGCATGCTCTCAAAGAATGGTTTCATTCCCAGGCTGGCAGGCTGGCGTGGCTGGCACTCTATGTCAGTGGGACCCACACAGGTAGCTGATGGGAGAGAAACGGGCATTACTGACAGCTAGCTCTACAATGGCTCATATGACAAGTTTTGAAGTACTCTGTGGGACCATCAGGTCCTTACCATTTAGGGGAATCTGGAGGAGAGGCACTCTTAATCCTGATTGCTTGGGTGGGGCTGTCTATTCAGCTCCTGAGTTAACTCTGATATTTTACTTAAGGAAGTATTTCTCAGTTGAAATAGTTTGAAAAGTGGATCTTAATGACATTGAGACTAAAACATGGGAATAACAGAGCTCTGAGGTGATTTGTTTAAAATATGTAAAGACGATGATAGTATGAACTATAGCCCTCAAAATGTATGAAGCTTTGCCCTTGTACCTATTGTCTGAAAATATACTCTTAGAGCATGTTATTAGTTAACATGATGTCATACTGGAGTAGAATTCTGAATGGCATTCATATAAAAGGAGGTGAAGGAACACAGACAGACAGAAAGGAGAAAGGTACCTGGCAACAGAGTATGCCATAGCTACAAGTCAAGTAAGGTCAAGGGCTACTAAAAATAGGAAGAAACAAGAAAGGATCTTGCTCTACAAGCCTGCTGACACCCTGAATTCAGATTTCTTGGCTCCAGAACTGTAAAAGCTTCAGTATCTATTCCCATAAGTCATCCAGCTTGTGGTGCTGTTACAATAGCCTTAAGAAATGATAAGGATCCAATTTTAAGCATGTACCACTTACAAGGGGTTCTGGTGGATTGCCCAGAGGTAGCTGCACTGCAAATGCAGCAGCTTTCTTGTGGCAGGTTTTCAGAAACAGTCATCACATTGGAGGAGACTGCTCATCTTATTGTGCTGAGCAGCTGGTGGGTTTGATCTGTGTGCCTTCAGGATTGCAGCACAGCTTCTTACCACTATGCCACCAGAGCTCCCTATCCACTCCTGTTTCCTATGGATAGGTCTCATTTGCTTCAGGTAAGTGACTCACAAATAAGACTATCTGCCATGACCAGCTTCAGAGCGGAGAACTCAGAAACCAGAAGTATGCATGTGGCAGAATAGTGTTGTGGGGGCAGTTTAATAGATTCTGGTTTCAGAGTACATACTGAGATTTGGACAAAGATGAAAATGAGGTTAGGAGATAAAAGCAGAGACTGCTTTGAGCTAAGTAAAAAAGACACATTGAAAAAGGAGGGAGATTATTCACCTGAATTCCTCATGTGAGTATTAGGCATGGGGAACCAAGCTCAGATATGTATAATCTTGGTCTGGACCTCAGGACAAGAAGGCATGTGGAAATCCATCTGCACTGTGACAATGCTTTCTGTGGTTCAGTGTTTGAGGGACACCAGGCTCTACAACTGAGTCAGAAGTAAGACTTTCAGGGAGCTCTGGTGGCCTAGTGGCAAGAAGCTGCACTGCAATCCCAGAGGCACGCAGTTCAAATCCACCAGATTCTCTGCTGGAAAAGGAGGGATAATCTCCTCCTGTACGAGTCAGATCAGATTTGATGGTACATTCACACAAAATAATAATTAAAAAGAATTAGAAATAAGACTTTCCCTCTTCACTTGTCAGAACTCTCTCCATCTTCTTCTCTCCTTTTTTGAAGAGTCTTCTCATAATTCAGGGCACTCTAAAATTCTAGCATGGTATAGTATTATCTGTCAAAGGGACTGAAAAGGACATTTATCAAATTTGAACCAAAGGAGGTTCATTTCCTTCCCCATATAGTCTTGGGGGGGGGATAAATCTCTAGAATGAAAAAAATTCACTTTTTAAAGACTGTTCCAACTCATAACAACCCTCCACTAGATTTCTAAGCTGTAATTCTCTACTGAAGGAGGGATTCCATGTTTCTCCTTCAGAGAAGCTGGTGGATTTGAAGCATTGAGCTCTTGGTTAGCAGCCTGATACATTATGTACCAGTGCGCCTTCTTAAAATCAGTAGTAGCAGGTTATTGTATACTCTCAGTGCTGTCAATTCACAAAAATTTCATAATTGACACTGTATAAGTTTTCAGAGGCTGTGAATCACACAGGAAGAGAGTTCTTATCCTTCTCCCTCAGAGACACTGCCTTTGGGTTCGCAGTGCAACTCCCTCCCACCAGAGCTCTGTTATCGCTATATGCTTGACTTAGGTCAGATCCAACTTATGGTGGCTTTGCATATAAAAGAGTAAGAGGCTTTCTGGTCCTGTGCCATCTTCATGATCACTGATATGTCTGACTTCATTGTTCAGTCATTTCATCTCACTGAGGGTCTCCCAAATTTTTGCTGACTCTATACCTGTGTGGACCACAACAAACTGTGGCTGACTCTGAGAAGAAACGGAGTCCCAGAACACTTGATTGTGCTTCTACAAAACCTATACTTGGGCCAGAAGGTAGTTGTCAGAACTGAGCAAGGGAACACTGCATGGTTCAAAATTGTGAAGGGTATACACTAGGGATATATCTTATCTCCATACCTTTTCAATTTATATGCAGAACAGATCATCCAGGAGGCTGGCTCTATGAGAAATCTGACATCAGGATCGGATCATCAACAATCTGCGTTATGCAGATGACACAGAAGGACCTGAAGAACGTGCTGCAGAAAATC